CTGCCTGTTGATAACAAGTGATGTCCTAATTTTCTAGCTATCTCTATCGCTTTTATCGCAATGTGAGTGAGATCTTGATTTAAGACAAAAATTAAATCAGTATGCTGCTAAAGCTAACCAACCGAATGAAAAACCGGCAAAACGTCTCTAACAGTAATCACACGCGAGGGAAAATTGTCCATTTATACAGCTTGCAGAGTTTAATTTCACAGCTAGTTAAGCTGTGTATATAACTGCGATGATCAAATATGTCTTCATATCCTTCTCCGCAGTTCAAATATATAATCTTTCATATATTCACTTGAATAATCACACCCAAAGGAAATTCGTCCATTAATGGCTTCTCGCTTTGCCTCCCAAACATAAAAGAAAATTCGGACCGGCGCCTTTGCGTGGGATAGAAAATCATTGAACCTTGCCCACAGCTTATTACAATAGCTATAGTTAGTAACACTTAGAAAGTTGTCTCCTTCATTTAGCTTCACCCCAAAATTAGCTCATCAGCACCTGGCCAATAGGAACAGTGTACAATCAGTGTAAATTGTTTATTTTTTTATCATTTTGTATTATAAATCAACTCTATCGACCCTAGTCTACAACTAGACTTTCTGCATTGGGTTTCGTTGGGTGACGACTTGGATATTCCTCTCAGTTACCATCGCTATTACTGTCCTTTTCAAGTCACGATTGATTTCCATTCCTTCAATTGCCTTGGAAGGTGAGTTGTTTTCACAGTTGTAATCGTCTCTTTAAGTTTTTGATTTTTAGATCTAGGGATGACTGAAGTGAGTGATTATCATGTTTTCTCTCTAAAGCAAACTTTATTATTGTAGTGAAAGGTCAGACGTGTGATTTGTAAATCGCAGCTAAAGACAACCGAAGGCATTGTTTTCTATATCGATATAGCCTAGTAGCTATCGCCCAGAAGTGTTCACGAATGTTCAAGAGCGCCACTGTTTTTTCTGCTAAAGTTCCCCTTGACAGCAGCACTTAATGTGTCAAAAACTACATTTCTAAAATTACGAGAACATTGAATAAAAACATGCTCCAATGCCGCTTTCAAGAGAAACTTTCAAAGAAAACAATGGAGCTCTTAGACATTAGGGAAGGCTGCTAGTGTGTAACGGCAAAAATGATTAAAGCAAGCTGAAAGCTACTAGGCTGTGTCAACGTAGTGGTTGAGAAATGCCACATAGTTGCATATTATTAAACGAAAAGAGAAACTTTCAAAGAAAACAATGGAGCTCTCTCAATGGACATTAGGGAAGGTTGTTGGTGTGTAACGGCAAGAATGATAAAAGCAAGTTGCGGAAAGCTACTACATAGTTAAGATTTTAAGGAAAACGACCAATTTTTTAAGTTTAATAGACATGTTTCGACAGAACTTCTGTCATCTTCAGTTGAATGAATGAATGATTACAAAGCAAGTTGAATAA